CCCACCCTTCACTCAGAGTCTCAGAGCGGCTTACAAACAGCTTTTACAGAAGAGGAGGAGGAGGAGATTGGATTTATACCCTGCCCTTCACTTGGAGTCCCAGAGCAGCTTACAAACTCCTTTCCCTTCCCCTCCCCACAATAGACACCCTGTGAGGTAGAGGTGGGGCTGAGAGAGCTCTGAGAGAACACCTCTTGGGAGATCAGCTCTGAGAGAACTTGTGACTGACCCAAGGCCACACCCGCAGCTGCATGGGGAGGAGTGGGGGAATCCAACCCGGTTCTCCCAGATCAGAGTCCGCGCTCTTAACCACTACACCTTTAGTCATTCACTGTCAAGTTGCGGCGCACGCTTCGAACATCGCCGCGCATCAGCAAGATGGCAGCCATTGTGGGAGGGGCTGCGGCTCTGTGGTTAGAGCGTCCACTTTGGGTGCTGATGGTCCCCAGGTTCAATCCCCGGCACCTCCCTTTTTAAAAGGGTCAGGTAGTAGGCTGTGTGAAAGGCCTCTGCCTGGGACCCTGGGGAGCCGCTGCCATTTGAGTCGACCGATGGTCTGAATCAGTGGAAGGCAGCTTGGCGTGTTCGCGCGATGTTCACAGATGCAGCCCGGAAGAAGATGGAGGGCGCTCAGTTGGGGACGGGGGACAGAACTGCGTTAGCCCTGGGGAGAACCAAACACCTTCCGGATCCCAGAAACATAAGGACAAGGAGCCGAAGGTCGTGTTAGAGGCCCCAGAAGATCACGGCCGCCAGGAGAAAAGCAATAAACGAGGGCTTGATGTCGCTGCAGGAGTTGGTACTGGGCAGTCCGCAGTCCGTGTAAGGCTCCAGGCAAATGGCGAAGGCCATGACGTGGGCCACGTGCGTCTGCTCCTGCACCCCGTGGAAGAGGTGGGCCATGGGGCCCTTGGCTAAGATGGCCACATCCTCGCCGCCGTGGGTCTCGGAACTGAGGGGCACAGCCGCTTGCTGGTGGTAGCTGTTGCCCTCTAGTGAAAGGAAACACAGAAAAGAGAGAGATCACGGAGTTAGCGCTGTCAACCACGTGCTCCTTGCCCCGCTGCACTGCCCTCCACACCTCGCTCTTGGGAGAGCCTTCACAAGACCACCTCTTTCCACTGTTCCAGCCCCAAGGAAGGAGATGTTCTTATGAAGGCCTCGGCCTCTCTGCCCTGCTGTTGGGCCTCCAGAGGAACTGGTTGGCCACTGTGTGTGACAGGATGCTGGACTGGGTGGACCACTGGCCTGATCCAGCAGGGCTCTTCTGATGTTCTTATGAAGGCCTCGGCCTCTATGCCCTGCTGTTGGGCCTCCAGAGGAACTGGTTGGCCACTGTGTGTGACAGGATGCTGGACTGGGTGGACCACTGGCCTGATCCAGCAGGGCTCTTCTGATGTTCTTATGAAGGCCTCGGCCTCTATGCCCTGCTGTTGGGCCTCCAGAGGAACTGGTTGGCCACTGTGTGTGACAGGATGCTGGACTGGGTGGACCACTGGCCTGATCCAGCAGGGCTCTTCTGATGTTCTTATGAAGGCCTCGGCCTCTATGCCCTGCTGTTGGGCCTCCAGAGGAACTGGTTGGCCACTGTGTGTGACAGGATGCTGGACTAGATGGACCACTGGCCTGATTTAGCAGGGCTCCTCTGATGTTCTTATGAACGCCTCGGCCTCTATGCCCTGCTGTTGGGCCTCCAGGTTTCCAGAGGAACCACTGTGTGTGACAGGATGCTGGACTAGATGGACCACTGGTCTGATTTAGCAGGGCTCTTCTGATGTTCTTATGAACGCCTCGGCCTCTATGCCCTGCTGTTGGGTTTCCAGAGGAACCACTGTGTGTGACAGGATGCTGGACTAGATGGACCACTGGTCTGATTTAGCAGGGCTCTTCTGATGTTCTTATGAAGGCCTCGGCCTCTATGGCCTGTTGTTGGCCCTCCAGAGGAACTATTGGCCCCTGTGTGCAACAGGATGCTGGACTAGATGGACTCAAGTTCTGACCCAGCAGGGCTCTTCTGAGGTTCTTGTGAAGGCCTTGGCCTCCATGCTCTGTTGTTGGCCCTCTAGGGGAACTGGTTGGCTACTGTGTGAGACAGGATGCTGCACTAGATGGACCCCCACTGGTCTGATTTAGCAGGGCTCTTCTGAGTTTCTTATGAAGGCCTCAGCCTCTATGCCCTGCTGTTGGCCCTCCAGAGGAACTGGTTGGCCACCATGTGTGACAGGGTGTTGGACTTGATGGACCACTAGTCTAATCTAGCAGGGCTCTTCTGATGTTCTTATGAAGGCCTCGCCCTCTGTGCCCTGTTGTTGGGCCTCCAGAGGAACTGGTCGGCCTCTGTGTGCGACAGTTTGCTGGACTTGATGGACCCTTACTGGTCTGATCCAGCAGACCATTGCTAAGACTGAGAAATCAAGGCATGCATGTAGTTGGCCTTCTACAGAGTCCATCATGGTCAGTCTTGTCTACTCTGACTGGCAGCTGCTCTCCAGGAGGAGATCTTTCACATCACTCATAGCCTGATATTTTTAACTGGAGATGCTGGGAATTGAACCTGGGACCTTCTGCACGCCAGGCAGCTGCTCTATCACTGAGCCACAGCCACTCCCCAGAAGGAAGAACTCGAAGAGCCTTTGTGCATTTCATTCCCCTGTTAAAAGTGATTCTATAAACCCCTCCTCAAGTAAGAAGAAGAGATTGGATTTATCCCCCACCCTTCAGTACCCGAAGGAGTCTCAGAACGGCTTACACACTCCTTTCCCTTCCCCTCCCCACAACAGACACCCTGTGAGGTCGGTGGGGCTGAGAGAGCTCTGACATCTGACAGAAACGGCTCTTTTTCAAGGACAGCTCTTGTCAGAACTATGGCTTGCCCAAGCTCTTTTGAGGACTGCCCTTGAGAGAACAGCTCTGAGAGAGCTTGTGACTGACCCAAGGTCACACCAGCGGCTGCATGTGTAGAAGTGGGGAATCAAACCCGGTTCTCCCAGATTAGAGTCCGCGCTCCTAACCACTACACCAAACTGGCTTGCGGGGACAGAATTAAGAACCCCTTTTACGCTCCCGATGTGGCAGATGGTCACAGGCGAATGGCTCCCCTCCCACTCAGCCTAGCGGCCAAACCTGACCCGATCAATCAACCAATCACTTACCGCTCGCAGTAGCACTCACGTTCGTGCGACTCTGGTTGGTGATCTGGTAGCCCGGCCCATTCCCGTACACAATAGACGTGTATGTCTTCTCGTCTGATGCTAGTTTGGGGGCCAAACCTGACAAGGGAAGAGGCCAAAAAAAAAAAGGATTCGAACTGCCCCAGTCTGTCTATCCCTCTGTCCTTGCTCTGATAGGCAAGAGTCAGAGCTCGAGATCCTTTTAACTAGGCCTGCTGGGAACTGAACCAATAACCACCTACGCGTTAAGCCAGGTGCTCTACCATTGAGGGACGGTGCCTTCCCGGGGAATCCTTTCGCAATGCATCATCACCGCTTTATACTTAGTCAGACCACTTCTGTTGTCTGGTGGTGGAAGGTGCTGCCGAGTCACAGCCGAATTACGGCGACCCCTTAGGGTTTGCGAGGCAGGAGACGAACAGAGGTGGTTTTGCCCTTGCCTGCCTCTGCATAGCAACCCTGGACTTCCTGGCTGGTCTCCCATCCAAGGACTAACCAGGACTGGCCCAGCTTAGCTTCCGAGATCTGTTGAGATCAGGTTAGCCTGGGCCATCCAGGTCAAGGACAGAGACCAACAGAGGAGGTTTGCCCTGGCCTGCCTCTGCGTAGCCACCCTGGACTTCCTTGGTGGTCTCCCATCCAAGGACTAACCAGGGGCGATTCTGCTTAGCTTCCGAGATCTCACGAGATCAGGCTAAGATCGGAAG